CTCTCTCTCTCTCTCTCTCTCTCTCTCTCTCTCTCTCTCTCTCTCTCTCTCAGTGTGTGTGTGTGAGCATCCTTTTCCCCCCCCACATTGGTCTGTTTGTCTGTGTTTGTGTGCATCTTTGCGCCCTGTCATCTTTGTGTGTGTGTGCATGTGTGCGTGTCTGTGCGTGCCCACAACCATTCATGCATGTGCAGTTGTTACAGGTGTGATTGTCCATGTGGTGACCTATTCTTTGTACGCTGCTGGTCCACAGTACGAGCTGCTTTGCTTCTCCTGGCAGTTCTTTTTTTTTTTTTTTTTTTTTTTTTTTTTTTTAAAACCTGGCTCCCTCTATTCTGGGGAGCGTCAGTCCGGTTCCCATTCCACCGGCAAGTCAAAAACATTACAACAATTAACAGTCACACACGCTTCCTTCCGTCAGGCCGAAGGACCCCTGAGCAGCATTGATTGCTCCACCATGGGAGGATTGACTGTCAGCTTGCCTTATCCCACTCTTTCCTCTCAGATCCGGAATCCAGATCTGTCAGATGAAGCACTAGACCCTAGAAAGATCCCACCTTTTGGCCTTACCCCACCTGGTTCTTCCCAAAAGTCACTTCGCCCCCCCTTTAGACGATCAACCGTTGTTAATGAAACCTACACCCTCAGTCTGCAATCTTATCGTCAAAACGACACAATTAGGTCTTGACAGGCGTTAGTAAGCTTCCGGATGTCTGAGATGGGATCTTCCTTGGCGACCCCTGTACATGCTCCAGCGTTGTCAGACTTGTCCTCTTTTTCCACGTCGTCTGTACTCCCTGGGTCATGTTTAACCTTCTGCAGACTAAGGGGTGCTTATGGATTCCAGCAACGTCTGATGTTGGGGACCCCTTCCTGGATTTGAATTATGTCATTCTTTCCAACATACGCGGTCCTGTCGCAGTTCACCAATCTTGCCATCAACCAGCCAGATCCTGTAAAATCTCTGCCTCTCCTTGTTCTGCTGTTCTTCGTCTTCAGACCAGGCTCGCTTGATCTTCCGCCATCTGCATAGGATCTCGGCTTGAATCATTATTTTAGTTTCTATCCACACTTTCTCCCGTGGGTTGGAGAGTCCTTCAATTGTTCGACTGCATCTCTCCTTCCATATGACCCATAGGGTCACCTTTCTGATGAGTTCAAACCAGGTCCTCTCAGCCTTCCGAGGCTGATCCGGGATGTTAGTCAAGAGGAGCAGCTGAATGGGTTGTTTGGGGAAGGGAGATGAGAAGAGGGAGTCCCAGAGTGAAGAAGCTCTCGCCCAGTATTCGGTTGCTTCTTTACAGAGGACTAGGCAGTGGACTGTATCTTCTACCGAGCCATCAGAGCAGACTGCACATAATTCTGAACTGTCTGGGTCTGTGGTTTTCCATCTAATGTGTAGCCATTGGTTCACTGGTAGGGCTGCATATACAATCAGCCATTGCAGGCTTCTGATCTTGATTGGTCTGATACGTTTGAATTTTTCCCAATGTATTCCTGTAATTTTGTCAGCTTCTTGACCCACGAGGTTCCTCCGTCTGTTTTTGATGATTGGATCTGGGATTTTGGTCTTCAGAGACAGTCTGTACCCAAGTTTAACTGAGTAGTCCTGGATCGGGACTTTTGATTTGAAGTTGCTGGTGGAATTTGGCTTCCAGGCCACTCCGCTGGGTCGAACTCCGGGGATCGGATTGCCGTATCCGGTCTGAATATTTCCTTTGGCCATGAGCCTAGGACCCTTACTTTTCTGAGGAGGAAGGAATCCAATATCGATGATTCTACATTATCGTTGAAAATAGCTGGCCTGGCCGTATTGGTGAAGGAGACCGGGAAGGAGAGAAAACTGGCTCTGGTGTGTGAGCCTTGCTGCATGTGAGAGAATTGATAGGCTCTAGTAGGGGCTGTATCTTGAATCAAAAGTCCCCACTCGCCCGGTCTCCAGGACTCATCTTTTACCAGGATGTCTTTCCATTCTTGAGGAATACGAGTGAGTATGTATTGGAGATTGGTCTCTCGTCTGTGGCAACCTTTTAGTCGAGCACTGACTTCCTGTTCAGTTATCCAGTCTTTTTTGTCCTCCATCCACAAGTGGTCTACTTTCCATATGCCATTCTTGATCCACGATAGCCATCTCTGTTCTAGGAAAAGAGGGTTGTTGGCTTCATTTGTCAGCCATTCGTTCCCGAATAGCGGTTGTCTTAGTACTTCATCTTTAGATTTAGGTTTGTTTATCTTGTTAGGGATTATTTTCCTCCACGATCGAAGCAATGCCGGCCAGTAGGGGGTGGGCGGCCGATGATCTTCGGGTCCGTTGTTCCTCGTCCAATTCCTCCGTCCTGTGGAGATCACCCATTCTTTGTTCATTACCCAAAATAGGCCTGATATGTCGTTCGCGGAGGGAACATGAGCCACCGATTTAATACTGTCCAGACCCAGGTTATTCCAGGCGCTGTCCGGATTCATCGGCAGTTTGATGATCCATTTAATTTGCAGAGCTTTCGTTTCTGTTCCGGGGTCAATGATTCCTAGGCCCCCCTCTCGTGGCCTCCTTGTGACATAGTGTCAGGCTATCTTAGATATGCACTTGTCTTTGTTGGGGTCTCCTGTCCAAAGGTAAATCCTGGCCCATCTGTTCAGCTCCTTAATCGAACTGTCAGGAACTGTCCAGATAGAGGCAATATACCACATCATTGAGAAGACCGACGTATTGAGAACCAGAGCTCGGTCTATAAGGGAAGCACAAGAGTTGCCCCATCTTCCGATTTTGTTAATCTGTTTGGCTAGCATAGCTGGGCCCATTTGGGACGCCGATCCTTCTTTCGTCATCAGGATACCTAGATAACGTGTGGGTGTGTCCGGTGTTTGCCATGTCATAGCCGCCTCACCTCCTTGAAGAGAAAGGGGTTCGTCATCGGAGAGCCACCAGCCAATTGTTTTCCCCCAATTGATCTTCATTTCTGAGGCTAACTTGAATGCCTCCATTGCTTTGGCTAGTGTTATGAAGGATGAATCTGATGCTCTGATTACAACTGTTAGATCATCGGCGAACATGATGGCTGCGGGGAAATCCATCTGGTGAGCCGAGCCTACATCGGTGCTAGCTAGTCTCTGGATTGACGGATCCTTGCGCAGGAAGGATGCGATTGCCTCCATTACGAATAGGAAGATTGACGGCGCTAGATGGTCCCCTTGACGGACCGAGCGGGAAATCGGATAGCAATCTGACAGCAGTCCATTGACTTGGACACAACCAACTGCATCCTTGTAGAGTATCCTGACCCATTTTCTGAAGTTCGGTCCGACTCCCATTCTTTCCATGCTTGCTTCCATAAAGTCCCAATTGACTTGATCGTATGCTTTCTCAAAATCAAAGAAGAGAATGGCGGCATTTATTTTCCGGTCTCTGATTTTTCTTACGGACTCGTTCAATGTCATAACATTGTACAGGATATAACGATCCGGGATGAATCCTGTTTGGTCAATGTGGAAGCATTGGTTGGTGATCTTGATAATCCGGTTCGACAAGGTCTTTGCCAAGATCTTATATGGGAGGGTTAGCAAAGATATGCTGAGAAGGTTTCCCAGACCCCCCTGAGACCAACTGTCATTATAGAAGTTTAGTACGTCATTACCTAGCAAGGGCCAGGATTTTTCCCATAATTCTTTTGTTAAGCCGTCAATTCCTGGGGTCTTATTATTGTTCATACTTTGTAGAGCCCGAAGTATTTCATCTGATGTGAAGGGTTTGTCAAGCGTTTCAGCTTGGTCAGGTGAAATTGTTTGCTTCAGGTATTGTAGCATTTTCTGCCTTGCTTCTCTGATGTTGAGGGGTATTGGTGCCCCCGTCTTGGACTGGTATAGCTCCTTGTAAAACTTGTTGGCTATCTCAAGCATCCCTTCGCTATCTGTTTTCACCGTTTCGGGAGTTGTGAGTGACTTCAGGCCTTCTATCGTGGTGGCTCTCGAGTTAGCTTTAATTCGGGCAAAGAAGTGTTTAGTCATTGAATCACTTAGTTCGTATTCGCACATTCTTGCTCTTATTTGGAGGCCTTTCAGATCCCACCATTTCCACATGGGCTATTCCTCTCGAGCCTTGTCAAAGATCGCGATATAAAGTTGAGAGGCGGGGTTGTTTGTCAATTTGGATTCAGCTATTTTAAGTGCAAATTCTAATGACTGCTTTCTTTGTTTCCTTATCGACGCTAACTTCCTAGACACTTTGGCCACGGTGTCTGAAAGGTTCGAGTAGCTCTTATGGAACCATTCCCATCGAGGAGTAGTGCTAAGGCATGCCGACCTCAAACCCTGCCAGCAGTCGCAAATTTCGTTTTGATCTCCTGACAGATTTTTATTTATTAAAAAAAAAAAAAAAACAGGTCCTTATGGTCCTGGCTCCATATCCATTTTGGGGAGCATCAGTCCGGTTC